GGAGGGAGAGAGAGAGAGAGAGAGAGAGAGAGAGAGTGGGGGAGGGGAGTTTGGGAGTAGAGGGGTATTAAATATATGTAGAATAGGAGGGGGGGGTAAGTAATAAGATATTTATATTTATTGAAAGTGTTGGTATGGATAGATAATTTGTGAGAGAGAGAGAGAGAGAGAGAGAGAGAGAGAGAGAGAGAGAGAGAGAGAGAGAGAGAGAGAGAGAGAGGGAGGGAGAGAGAGAATGGATTCAGGTCATTCAGTGTTTAGTGGTGCGGGGTGCTCCGTCAACATCACCGACCTCGCTTCATCGAGCCCTATAAGAATAGGAGGTGGAATGAATGTTTTGTAGCGGGCTAATCTGTTCATTTGCGTGTTCCCTGCTTGGTGTTCGGTGTGTGTGTCTGTCTCCCAAGCAACGTGAAAATAGATTCAAAAATGAAGTACTTTATTTGTCTTTTCTTCGCAAGAAAAGTTCTCCAACTGAGGATCATGTGAAAGACTGATCTAAATATGCTGAGCGTCTTGTCAAGTAGAAGTATCACTCACTGAAGTACTCCTTACAAATTTCAACTTGTTTTCAGAGTTGTCTTGTTCTTTAGATCTTCTGATGGCTATAGCATTTTTGTGACCACGGACCGAGTCTTCGCTAGAATTTGGGAATAGCAACTGACACTAGTTTAGTGTGAAGAAAAACAACAACAACAACAACAACAACAAGTGCCGAACCCTGCTCGCGTTGGAAACTGAGGCTGCATCGGAGCAGGCGGGTGCTTCCTTATGACTCGGTTGGGAGGTCTCTTTCAGCGAGACAAAAGGCAAAGAAAAAATACTTTGTAAGTACGTACGAAGGGTATGTAGGTGGAAATTAAGTCTACATGTAGTCAAAATAAGGTGCATGGCGTGCCACTGATGATTAATCGTCTACTCGCATTGTGTAAACAATAATAAGATCGCTTGCAAATGTGGGCCAAACGAGAGAGACGGTACATGCAACAAAGCAGACGTCACGAGCGCCTCCCCGAGCGTACGCACACATACATCTCGACCACGACGAGCTCGATGACCGCGTGTCTGCGCTGATCGCCCTCGAACGATTGGAAGCATGCCCACATACTACGACAATACAGCATGCACAGCAGTCTCCGAGGCACCACCTGGCTGGATGACATACACCCAACAACCAACACGGTCTGCTTTTAACATTACAAAGAAAACACTTCAATAGTCAAGGCGAGTTGAAGTCTTTTCTGTTAGGCACATTGAGCCGACCGGAAGAACTCAAGCCAAAACATCGGGGAGAAGTCATCCTCTCAGTTGCGTCATCATCATCATTATTTCATCATCGACGTAGGTACGCCCCCAGCCCCCGTTCTTTTTGCGCGAGAAAGAAATATTCACCGCGTTACAAGCACATACACACATCGCACGCACGTACATTCGCCGCCCAACCCGACCCCATCCATCCCCCTTTATTGACCTCTGACGTCAACAAAAAAACGACAACAAGAAGAGAGCAACCGCAGAGAGAGCTAAAAGCAGAGAGCGTTGGTTGCCTGGAACACTCTCTGGCTCTCTCGTTCCTGTCGCGGTTACAAATGCTGATGCGATATTCTTCGATCTCATCCTCCGTTGATCCCCCCCCCTCTCCTCCCCCGCCCCTTCCAACATCACTTCGGCCGTTGGATTGACCCCGTTTCGAAAAAGCGGACAAACACGCCTCCTACCGGAAGGGAAGGGAGCGACTCGCACGAAAAAAAAAAAAAACACGAAACCATTCCTGTCTCTCCCTGGCCACTGTGAAAAAATGTCGCCGAAAAAGGCTGTCTATCAGAATGAGCCAGGAATAAACGCCACACCGTGCTTGGGAGAAAAACGCAATGCATGTACACATACACCAGCAGCAGTGGTGGTGGTGGAGCAATAGCGGCTCCCACAACAGGAAGCAAGGGGGGGGGGGGGGGGGGGGGGAAGCACAGCGAAAAAGGTACAAATTTCGACACAACGTATGATAGTCATACAGAAAATAGGAACAGAAAAGGGGTGCGTTTAACCCCGACGGCACGAAGGAACAACAGGGAGGAAAAAGACCAAGAAACAAAAATCGTCAGAACTCGGGCGCGGCGGGAAACTGCCATCAAGCCCGCTTTGTTCTGCCTATAGCACGTACGTAAGAGTACGCCTTTACTACATGGCTACAAGTTTTTCGTCACCAACCACCAGCTCTATCCACCATCCACCAACTTCCCCTTGACAAACTCGAGGGCATCACAGCACAGCAGCAGCAACACCCTCACACCGCGGGAAATCAATAAAAATAAACCACATACGCAGTTTATCCACACACAGCCTAGTTTTTTATCCCTGGGCCTCGCCCCCCCCCCCCCGCCTTCCTGCCCCAAGAACGTCACATTTTCGTTGAGCACGCGACCCGTAATAAAAAGTATTATTTCAATAATTTACAAATATCCTGGAGTATATGCCGTATGCCGAGGATGTATTGTTTTGAAGAAGCAACCCCACCCTGCCTCACCATTTTAAAATATACCAAGGGAACGCCGCGGGAAACGTCACGACAAACGAACGAACGAACGAACATGGCGAAAACCTTGCGGTAGAATTCGCTAAGACGCTCTTGACAGCAGTGTAGACGGAGAAAGACACGTGCCCACTACAGCTTGCAGAAAAAAACGCCATGCTGCCCCACGCCGAATGACATCAACCCATTGAAACATGATTGGTTCTGTTTGGGGCACAGTGGAGTTCTCCCCCATGCCCCCCCCCCCGAACAACGCCAAACGCACAGCAAAACCATGCCGTGTTGCCAACGGTTGGGTTTTGAGGTGTGGTGAAAAAGGACGGCGGTCACGCCGCTGGAAGATCTCGCCCCCCCCCCCCCCCCCCCCCCCCCCCTCGGGAAGGC